GCGAGTCCTGGCCACGCAGAGCGGACCCTGAGGGCGCGCGTTACCCGTGTCCCGACGGCTTTTGAAATTCGCCTCCGCACACCCCAGCCTCCCCGGCGCTCCGGAGCCGAAAGCAATTTCCTAAATAACTAAATCCTCTGGCTAGACAGCCAGGGAGCAGGCAGCTGCGGGATGGCACCATGGAGCATGCTTGGCCCCGCTGAGCCAAGGGAGTCACTAGGACTGTCTGTACAGTGTTTAGGGGTGCGAAAATATGTAATGGCCTTGAACTGATCATCACGCCATTATTTTTCTCCTGTGCTTTGTCTTTAATCTGAATCCAGTTTAGTGTGTTAAAAATAGCCTGTTGAGCTTTGGAAAAATCTGTTGGGTTTGCTAGAGCCTAGGCATTTATACCACAGTCGCTGTTGCTCTAATTAAAAAGAAAATCTCACATGACAAAACTGTACCTAATGGCTGACATTTGAGAGCAATAACCATAGCACCAAGACATAATCTTGGCTCTGTTCTGCTCAACAAGGACCTCAGGCCAAGAGGAACAGGAGCAGTGGGTGTCCCAGGGTCCTGCTCTACAGGTCAGCACAGCAGAGACCAAGAAAGGCTGGCTTGAATAAATTGTTTTTTTTTTTTTTTAAAGAAAGAAGGTCATCTCTCTCTTTGGCATCCAGAACGACTCAGCAAACCAACAAAATGACTCAAAAATTCTTTACTTGCTTTCTCAAAAGGAAGAAAATCAGCCTGAATGATTTTCTTGAATCTTAGACAAAGGCGGTGGTCCCTTATTTCTTTTTTTATTCTGGTTAATTCAGGCTCTGTACCCTCATGACTTTCCATCCTTGCTGCAAATATGCTGTTGATTAGGCATTGGAAACAGAAACTATCTCAGAGTAAGCATTTTCTCAGAGGAACTCCTCACAATTCTGTAAGTGAAGCCACTACACCGTGACATTTGAAAATGCAAGCCATGAAGCCACCCACTTGGGAACACAGTCACTGGCTGGCTCTGCTCTGGTAATTTTGATCTCAAAGGTCAAAAGAAATTCTGATGTTCCCCCGTAATTTCTGTGTGGAAAATATACAGGCATCAGTGTTCTGCGTTGGTGGATTTTTGAAACAGACTCAATAGAGATTTTTTTTTTAAAGTAGCCAAAGGGTTAATATTGTTGCAAAGGAAATAAGATTGCAGATCTGGAGCTCTTGGCTTCCTCAGGTTTTGCAGAGCAAACTTTACTTCTCCACAGGACACTTTGGGGTTTTGGTGCTTGACCCCATCTAGTGGCACTCCAGGAACAAGGAGAAATCCCCATATGCTGCTTCCTATATGAAACAAGGCCACGGGTCTTTTTTTGTGTGTTTGTTTTTTCATGACCATCTGTTCTTTTTGCCTGACATCAAAACAGGCTGTGGGCCACGAGCGTGTTGCACAAGCGTGTTAAGCCACGGATATGCGTGTAAAGTGTAGTGAGAGGCTTTGAGACCAGGCAAGCGGGTTATGACTTGCTGTGCTTCTTTGGGCAAGATCTTTTAAAAATAAATAAATAAGCAGTATTCATTCCCCACAGAGGCACATCCACTTTATTTAGGTCCCAAATAGGAAAATGGAAAGTGCATTACCTTGTAACTCTCTCTCTCTTTTTTTTTTTTTAGTTTTAAATCAGCTTTAAGAACAAATGGATCTCTTCGAAGATGAGCTCTTAAGAGCTGCAGTTCAGCTAGCATCTGTAATAATACAGAGGTTTTGGTCTTCCCCCTGGAGCAGTCCTATGTGGATGTTCCTCCACCACTCTACGCCTTGCAGCCAGCGGTACCTCCACCCGCCTGGTGATGCCCTATGTTTTTGGCAGAACACAGATATTCCCAGCTGCATGTGTTCTCCTGGCTGATGCCCAAGCCCCCCGCTTTGCTTGCAGCTGCTGGCAGCCGTGTATCTGTCCCACTCATTCCCATCCGCAGCTGAGGTTCACTCCTTTCCCCTGGGCTCAATCCTGCTGCTGGGAGCAACATGGCTTGGATGTGGGCAGGAGGAGCTTGCTTGGCTCTTGACCGAGACAAGGTGGAAATGCTCCCTGACGTGAGGATACATGTCCTCACGGGCCCTGAGCTCTGACCCCTTGGGAGAGGCCACAGGGGAGATCGTGCTGTTCTGCTGAGGACGTTAGTCACTGATAGCTGCTGCCTGACACCCGGAAAAACCCTCCAGCGACCCAAGCACAGAACGGCTATAAACCCAATTGCCAGGTGCTGCTTCTTTTAAAGACTGTGGCGTGTATTTGCTGTGCTGAAGGAGCAGCATTATTATCCCAGAGAGTGATATGCTCTTTGCATGCATCATGAGTAATAATCACACTGGGACTGGGTGCACCATGCTTAGCACAGACCAGGCGTGTGGGAGCAAAGGTAGCAAACTACATGCTCTGCAGACACTGGAGCTGCAAGGGAGCCTGGCTGCAAGAGCAATGTGGAGCAGACTCCGCTTCCAGCTTGTCTGCAAGGAAATGGACAGAGGGGTGAGTTGTCCCTTGCTCCACCAGCAGCAGAGCCCTTGTGGTCTGGGCAGAGTGGCATGGGGAGGGAGGGAAAAGGAGGTCTGGATCTGATCCTTTCCTCTCAGGCATGCTTGCTTTAATCATCATTCTACGTTCAACTCCAATTGATGTTGCCTTCTTTATTTTGGCAGCCACTGAGAAGGATTTCAAAGCCAATGACGCCCCTTCCATCCCAAACAATTTGAGCAAATTACTTGGCCAAAATATTTTCCCCTACCCTCCGTGTCTCTGTATCTGACAGCACTCATATCTGTTTAGCTTAATTCAGCACTCATGCTGTAAAGCATTTTCAAGTACCCAGCTGTAGTGCGCTGGGGTGGGGAGGAGGGGGTTGTATGGTATTTCCTAGGCTTGGATTGTCCCTTCTTTTACTCTAATATGGAAAATAACTTCTCCCTAAGTAAGCAGCATGCCCTGAGTTTGCACTGGTGTGAATTTAGAATTGGACCACAATCATAAGCATAACATTATGTGTTAAGAATTGCTATTACAACCACCATTGTGGTATGCCCACATAACAATGCCATACTCATCGAGGCAGTTGCAATTTGGAGCTAAGTCCTTTCAAGCTCAACGAATTCTGCTCTAATGAAGCTTGTACCTAATTACTAGGTTAAGAAGGAGCTGCTTAGCATTGATTTAACAAAATCCCTTTAGAAGCCTCAAATACTGTATTCCTTGGAAGATTAGCCTTTTTTTTTCCCTAATGATGTTGTTACTGAGGAGGCACAAGAATCTGTGATATGCCCTGCTTACCCCTGAGTGAACCCCATTTACTCGGTATTTTTACTGCAGGAATCCTTCCAAACATTGCACAGATGGAATTTCACATTTGACAAAAGAAACAGATAACATGCATCAAGCAAAAAACTTAAGACTGCCTGAGTTCACATTTGCTTGCTCATGCAATTGTGCCTCTTCTGTGTTTTTAGTGACAGAAGCACTCTCTAGAGACTGATTCCGGGAAATGATTTTTTTTTTTTTTAAACAGCACGGCTGACAGATAATATCATTTAATAACATGTATGGAAATGCTCACAACCTTGTTTGAAATGCCAAAACATTTTAATATTTAGCTGTAAAGGTGCCAGAGAAAGCATTGATTCTAGGGGCTGTCAGGAGACCAACTCATTTAAATCCTGGCAAAACAGAAGCAGCCCCTTTGGCTTAGCAAAGCCTGCGAGCTCCTCTCTGCCAGTACGGAGGAACCCGCTGCAGCAGAGGGATCACCTCTGGGTGAAGCGCCAGGACTGGTGAAGAGGAGTATTCTACTCTGGGAAACCCTGCACGGATTTTAATTTTTTTCAAAGTCTTGTTTCTGATTACAGACTTATTCACTTGTGTGCTCGTAGTACTTGCCTCATCATGGGGAACATGGTAGGTCTCCAAAGCGGTCACAAAGGGGACTAGAGGCAATGGCACTGTAGGACACAGTTGTAAGTATTAGCTCTTCCACTACCTTGTTTCTATGGTTATTAATGCATGAAAGGGAAAGGAAAGGCTTTCTTTTCTCTCACTTTTAAAGAGGGAAAACGGAAAAAAGCACAAAACTGGGTAAAATGAAGATTTAGAGCAGGAACACAAGAGGTGGATATTTGAATTTTGCAAGTCAGGGTTTCCTTGCTCTGGAGCATCTGACTGGCTTTCAGTTGATATTATATAAAACAAGGCACTTGGTTTGCAGCTGAAGAATTGCTGACAAAAAGAACATGAAGAGTTACTTGCAAAAAATGCTATAGCATTTTTTTTTCTGTTTAAAAGCAGTGGGCTATCTATCTGCTCTACAGCATATGAGCTCTTTATTCTATTCATAATACGTTTCTCCTGCAGTTTCCCCTGTGCTGCGTGCAGCGGTTAAGCAAACACGGAAGAACAATATAAGCTAAAGTTTCAATTAATGTTTATCAACATTTCTGAACAACTCCATGAAGGTGGGGACCCATCAACACCACAGCACAGCACAGTATAGAACGAACCAACACCTGCCTACCATTGAACTTCTCCATAGGAGAATGCCCAACATTAAAACCCTGGTAGGCAACCTCAAAATAACTCGGCACTCTCTGCTTTCTTGTTCTCGCTGCCTGGGTGAAAACCGGTGAAGCATCTCTCTGCAGGCAAAACTTTGCAAACACACCGAAATGGTGCTCTTGGGGAGAAATCTTAAAGGCAGGATTCCCACACAGCCCCCGCGCACCGGCAGCACAGAGCACTCTCCTCCTGCTGCTCTCCCCTTCCCCTTTAAATAAAAATTCATGCACAAAGCAGAAGCCGCGCAAGACCCCCCCGAGTCCCCCCTCCCCACGCCGCCTTTTAAAAAGAGATCTGAAGCCGCAGCGGAGCTGAATGCAAGTGCGCGCTGGCTCGCCTTGCAGAAATGGGTCGCGCAGCACAGCCAGCTTGCAGCCGCCACTGGGTCCTGACACACTACTTGGTGAAAAACAGCAAAAGTACCTTTTGAATTCTTCCATCAATATCCAAATAAATACACTTGGGCCGGTAAGTTGAGGAGGCAGATCCCATCTTGCCACAGTTGGGGTTTTACTGGACTTTTTTTTTTTCTTTTTCCAGTGCCAAACAACAGAAAATAAAAGGTTTATCCTAAGAAGCCGAGCCACCGCTGCCTGACAGTTTGGTGTCCCTGCTCTTCTGTACACCGCTGTACTCCCATTCGGGGAAGGTCCCTCCTCTCGCATGCATGCATCTTGCTGTGCCTTTCTCCCCCTGCCACCTCCTTGTAGTTTTGCTTCCCTCCAAATCCAGCTGCCTCGGAGGGCTCCTGGCGCTCTCCGCAAGTGCCCTCCCGATTCCCATGGCAACAACCCCGCTCGGGAGCGCTGGGGCTCGGAGCTGCCAGGCTGCACCCTGGGAGCCGGGGCTGAGGGGCTCCCTTCCCACGCACGGCGCCACGTGGCCCTTCTCGCCGGGGAAGACCGTCCCCGCTCAGCGACGATTACGCTCTTCGTTTTTATGCCGGAATAGGGCTCTTCACTGGGATTTAGTGCCCACCCTTTCTGTGAGCACTCCTCATGTTTGTTGCAAGAGGCTGTGCCACGCGCCCGAGGTGCCCTCTGGACACCCGTGGCAGCTGGGGCTTGCACTGGCTCAGACAAAACTCATCTCTTTCGTTCCCACGTTCCTCCTGCTGCCATTGCAAAGGCAGAAAAGAAAAAGCAGCAGCCAGAGTAAGCCCCAGAAAGCATGAGGAGGACAGGCTCTAGACCCATACCTTCCAGGCCACCCCGAATACATCAGTATTTTAGGGATTGGGGATTATCACGGCAAAGATGTATCCTGTTCGAAAAAAAGGGGGCCACGTAGCTTTTGCCAGTGGGCTCTCTAGATGGGTGCAGATTGCCACCGGCTGCGACGTTCGCTCACAGAGGGGAAAGTTTTGGAGACAGCTGAGCCGCTCCTCTGCCCTCACAGGGGAGACACTGTCTGACAGGCTGCAGGCACGCAAAGCAGCTGGGAACAGCTCATTGCGCCGCCCTTATTGCCTGGTGGGTTTTTTTTTTTTTTTTGTCTTTACTCAGGCTCCTGGTGGAGGAGCTGTAAAAATATTTCCCAGCTTCTTCTGTGCTGGAGCCTTGGAGAACTCGGCGTGTGGGAGCGGGTGCTTCCCTGCTCACCCGCAGACCCTGAGGTGAGCGAGGGACAACCTGGCATGTGGAGGAGGCCACCGAGGGCCCTGCAGGTGAGCTCAGCCCTTGGGCAGCTGTGCCCGTGTTAACGTGGGAGGGGAGGCTGCACCCGCCTCGAGGTGCCCCCCGGGGACCCATGGTGACAGCCAGCATGTGCCGAAGCGAGACGACGGCAGCAAGGGAAGCGTAGCTGTTCAGAGAGAGGTGGTGAGACTGCTTGGGCATTGGGCATTTGGTCTTGTAGGCCTCTCCCAACGATGACCTGCTCTAAGGACAGCTGGACAAGGTCACTGGAGTATCAAGAGATATAATGAGTGGGATCACAGACCAGTGAGCAGTCACCTTCAGAACTGTACCATAAAAAGCAACCAGCTTCTCTGGCCCTCAAAATGACAGTCTCCAAATCCAGTCTCCATATCCAGCTCATGACTCCTGACCTGTCCACCCTCCTTGTCGTATCTCTATGTGCTTAAATAGTGTGTATTTCTTTAGTTCCTGCACACATCTCCCTCTTTTACACTAATACCTGCTGAAAAAAAAAAATGCTTTGCTATGATAAGGCTAACTACTGAACTTTTCAGTTGCAAGTGAATCTGCACAAGCTGAGCTCTTAGAAACTATGGTGAGAGCTTGCTGTAGTCCAGGGCACAGCTCAGATCCTGGGCTGAATGGCCACAAATGACAGTGTTCATCCATGAGGACATGCAGCTCTATGAGATCGATGCATCCCTTTAATTGTTTTAATTCACCTAAATTCCCTTATTTCATTGTACGGTGTGCAACTGCGTTAGGAAAGTCATCCTATTGTATCAAATCCTGCATCAGTTCATCATCCGGCACTACTACTGGCAAATCCTGGCACTACAGCTCCAAAGTGCATTTATCTGTTGTTTGCATTAAAGGAGCATTTTGCTTAACAAAGAACAGGACCAGGCCACTAACCTTCTAGACCACATGATGCAAGAGCCATGTCGGATGCTGCGCAGCTTTAGTTTGCCTTCTCCACTAATCCGTTTCCTGAGGCTCACATGCATCACTTATGTTTGTACTTATGTTCCCTTCAGGATACTGAGGGAGATCTGAGTTCTTGGCCTGATGCGCTGGTAACCACCCAGTCAAATGTCACTTACTGGCACTCTCAAAGAGTGAAAAGGTGCCTCCGTCTCCCTGGTCCAGCATCTGCTCCACATATGCAACTCAAGCAGCTCTGTCAGGGTTGCCAGATTGTAACTAAGATCCCACTTGGTCTCATTTCTATGGAGGTATAAAACAGTGAGCTGTTGAGGTCAAGATGGGCGCTGCACCTCTGCGCTCTCCACATGCATGTCCAGAAGTGAACACGGATACCTGGCCAGGCAGAGGAGCCACCAAGCCATGGACAGCCCTCCACAGCTGCTGGCCTGCACAGCAGCCTCTGTGCCTGCTCATGTGCGCCATCCCTGTGAGCCGTGTCAATGTCTTCCTTATCCCTGCACTGATGAGACCATCAACATTCCCCAAAAAGATTGTACTCATATCAGATAACTCCACTCTCCTTCAGTGATCCTAAGCAGACACCCAGGGATGAACAAGAGGTGCAGGCGTGTAGGATATTTTCCTGTTTTCCTCCTTCTAGTATAAGCACTGCTCGAGGCAACTTCTGTGCCTTACATTTGGTGCATTTTTTCTCCTTCATGACAGAAGTACCCTTCAGTGCCCTGAGGAGCTGCCTTCTTTGTCAAATGTACCTCGATACCCTTCAGTGCCCTGAGGAGCTGCCTTTGTCAAATGTACCTCGACGTTACAGCATCCTCCTGCAAAACCCTGCCATAACATGTCCCTTCTCCAAAGCACCATGTCTTTCCTAGTCAGTGATTTGCAGCTGCTAGATGACCTCTCCAGGGCTCACTTTACCCTTTCTTAAGTGAAAAAGCAATTGGAAAGAGCAGTTCTGAAGTTGCTCTGCTCACATGGAGGCTCATGTCAACCATTACAGAGCATTAGGTGGAGCCTCTGCAAAGCCTTGTTTCCCTTCAGCACTCAAGAAATTAAGCAACCTGCGATAAACAGGAGTATGTCCAAACTGGGGTGAGAGCAGAGTAGCAATTCAATGAAAATGGGATTTCGGAAATGTAGGAAATGCACAGCCTGGTCTGAGAAGATAATGGGCTGCTGGAACATGAACTTAAGAAAGTGAACATCTTAAGGAAGCTCATTTATTTCTAACTAACATCAAATAGAAGAAAAAGCAGAGAGTAAAAAGAGTCTGTTTTGTTTTCTTAGGTACTTGGTGTCTATGTCTCTCTGTTGCTACCTCTGCTCATTAAACCAGTTTTCCAGGTTTCCTCCTGCAGCTGTAAGTCTCTCTCATAGGTTCCTCTTTCTCCACGTTCGCTATGGGGCCTGGTCTTTCTGCTTTACTCTTCCACATTGGTCCCTCAAACTTACGCTTTCAAACTTACAAACTATACCCTCAAACTTACACTTTTTCTACCCCTGGAGCTCTGAAAGTTTTCCCTTAGACTCCTTATTTAATTATTTGCCCAGTTTTCTGTCACTCCCCTTAGCTATATTCTTTTGTTTCATCGCCAATCTTGCTTTTAGAATGTTCTCCCCCAATAATGCATGACTCAAGACTTTATCTACACAGAAATTGTTTGTAACAGTTATGCGGGGAATAGCTAACTAACTCTATCGTTTTACCAACTTAATCACTTCTGTTCCAGAATTTGAGCAACTTACTCAATTCAGCATTTAACTCCTTACGTAAATGTATGGAAAGTTGTAACTATATGCATATGGAAATTTTAGTGCGCTTCTTCGCACTTTTTTTTTTTTTTTGCACTGCCAATTTTCCGTTCTGGAAATGATCACATTTAATGCTAATTACAGAATGGCTGATTAATAATACTAGGACCTTTTATATGATTTGTCTGTTCAGACCTCCAAAGCCTGCCTTCAGGCCTTCATCCTTCAGCAGCTCATCTGGTCACCTCAGTTTTGGCACCATCTATTTTTCCGTGGGAGCTGCCCCTCTCAGCTCCATCCTGAGTCCATGTTGTGCAACTGTCATCACCCCAGTCTTGGTTTCCATGGTCCTCCCAGCTCCCCAGGTGTGCAGGCTGGAAGGGAGCTGCAGCACCTCCGGATGAGGCTGGGGCAGGGAACCAGCGTGGTGAGATGCCCAGACCTATGGGGTGGGGATGTAGCAGTGCGCGCTCAGGAACTGGCCTTGCCCAGCAATGTCGACCAACTCGGTGCCAATATTCTCTTCATTCTGCCTGTGATTATCATTAAAAAATTGTGTACCAAAAAAGAGTACCAAAGAGTACCAAAAAATTGGTACTCTTGTGTGCCAGAACTCACATGCAGGCTTGAATTCTGGGATTGCGAATACTGTTAATTTGCTTGTCTGTGTGCACTACTTGGAAAAGAAGAGCAGTCCCAAGCCACAGTTGTTTCTTCCACTTCATGAAAACATATATCCATTGAAGCTTTTGGTATACCATGTCTTTTTCTTTTGTGCATTGAAGTGCAGAACTTCTCTCCAGAATTCCATGTTAGCATTTTTTTTGATAATCAAATCTAGTTTTCACTTTTTTACAGCACTTGCAATATTTAGTAGGCCTCCCAGATGATTTCCTGAAGTTCCTCAAAGCCAGACAAAGCCTGTTCCTTGTTGAAGAGGAAGCTCAAGCTTCACATTTTTTGTTGTTTTTCACTGCAGTGTTATCATCAGGTTCTTGTCGTAGACTGCAACACAGTGGCACAAACAATCCTATGTCCTGATTTTTCTGAGAGCATTTTGCATCACTAGGCTGGATTCGTTTCCCCTCGACTCCCTTTTCCTGTCTCCTCTCTCTCTATCTGGAGCAGGAAGGATCTTGGCCATTGCTGAGCCCTGCCAT